TTGAAGAAAGTTTTCAAGCAATTAACAAAGGATTACTCGCTATGAGGTAAAATTCTAGATTTTCACCTCATAGCGAGAGCTTCCCTTTCATTGCTTGAAAACTTTCCCCAGCTTCAAAATTGGGGAAAGGGCTGTAAAGTCGACTCCGATACCAGCAGGTACCAGAGTATTTAAAAGAGAAGCCCTCGTACGAGTTTCTATGAAGACCTTCTCATTCAAGAAGATCTTAATAGAAAATCGTACGAGGCATTGGAAACTCGCGTCTGGTACATGTTGGTACCAGAGTGTTTGAGATTTGAAGACTCTGGTACTAACATGTACCAGAATTTATGATGAATTTAAGATGGACCATTATAAAATGGTAGCGGTTTGTTTCAAAAAATTTAGATGAGATTTGCATAGATATAGATTATATGATTTATACATATGAAAAATAATATATAAAAATATAATTTTGAGATAATTATGTAAATAATATTTTAAATATTTGAATTTGAGGTATAATTTTATAGTAAAATATATTATAAAGAGTATTTATATAAATATTGTAAAATAATATAAGTAATAAAAATTGAGACTCCTCCCTGTTTTTGATGTTTTGTCACTTTTTCGGTAATTCTTATTGTTTCACCAATATTATGAAATATATAATCAATGATACAATACTATCTTATGCGCAAATTTTCAAAAAAAGTATTCAAATATCTAATGTGGTGAAGCGCAGAAAGACCTCTAGATTTGGGTTGTTGACTTTTTTCAATAATGAAGATATAGACTCTTAATCATATTTAAACATATTATTTCAAATAAAAATGAACATCGGATGGACCAATTTGAGAAATCTTGATCAGCGGGCTCTCAGGGAAAACTCCAATGTTTAAGGTTTTGATCAAATCTCTTCTTTTTGATATCTGAAACGACAATAGGTATACAATAGTATGGATATGTTATGGTCATGCTTATGCAGAATGATATCTATTCTATCAAGAGAAAAAAGACCTCGAAGAGTCGAAAATTGAATAGTTGTAAACTAAAGCGGTGAACCCTTAAATTTCAATCAATCGATAATGAGTAGCTCCAAAATAGATTACAATATAACTGTTAAACACAATTATTGAAGAAAACTTTCTTCACACGAGGATTGATTCATAGAAACATAGAATGGATTTATAGATTTATGGGTTTGATTCATTCATCTCTCCAAAAATACGAAAAATGTTATAGAAACACATAGTCATATAGTTGTGATGCCATATCACGAGTAGTGAAATTATGATCAATGAAATCTATATCAAATCATATTATTTGCTGACTAAAAATAATGTTTATAAATAACCACGGCAATATTAATAGATATTATACATATCTCTTATCTGCAAGCGTTAACTGTCACTTTTTATACGTTTAACGGCAATGACTGATTTGTTTCAAGCTATTCGCGAGAATAACACTGATCAAATCAAGAACATTGTTGCGTGTGATGTCGGAATGCTTAAGAAAGTGAATGAAGTTCTTTTATTTTTCTCATAATATTCTTTTATATTTTATGGATTAACTCCTCTATTATTTGCCGCTCAGATTGGTCAATGCGATTGTGTTGAAGCTATCATAAATGATAATCCATCTTCATTATTCGAAAAGGATTCGACTGAAAATAATGCAATTCATTTTGCAGCCCAAGGAGGACATGTTAAAGTAGCAGAGTTTCTTGTATCTAAAGGTTTGAACCCATCATCGCGTAATTTGGATGGACAGACACCTCTCCACATTGCTGCCAAAAACGACAAGCCAAATTTTGTCAATTTTTTGCTTGATAATTGCAAAGTCAACATTGATGACAAAGCTAATAACAAATATAGAGCAATTCACTTTGCTGCTGAAGCAGGATCAACAGAAGCAATCAAAGCTCTGATTGAACATAATCCCTATTTTGAAACTGAAGGATTTGACACTCCAGAAAATTTGGCACAAAATGCAGGAAAACCTGCCGCTGCTCGAGAAATTAAGAGATATGTTAGATCAGGAAAGATGCCTAAGACAGAGATAGCATCAAATGTTAGATTATCTAACACAGGAGTTCAAATTGAAGTTCGCCATGTCGGTGTTCAAGTTCCTGAACCTGAATCTGCAAACACAACAACATCAGGAACAGAAGACAAACCAAAAACAATAAGAAGAAGAGTCAGAAAACAACTTGATGTTCCTAAAAAGGTCAAAAAGTCTAGAACAACGAAAAAGAGAATCACTTTCCAAATCAAAAGCCAGAACAAAATCAGCAACAGGAACAAATGAAACATATGAAACTGGAACTGAAGAAGAAGATGAGGAATACACTAAAACTCATACTTATGAATATGAAACAATCGAAATTCCTGCCAAGAAGAAGATTCGCCATAGAAAACTCAAATCCAAATCAAAATCTAAAACAAAAACAACAGATGAAAATGAGTATTATTATTCTTACTCTTATGCAGAAGAGGAAGAAGATGATAAAGAAAAAAGTACTTCTGGAAGTTATTTAACAAAATCTGACGAATATAACAAAAAACAAGAAGAAGAAAGCGAAGAAGAACAAAATAAAGAGGAAGAAGATACATCATCTGTTGTCAAACCAAGCAAAGCTCTTAAGTTAAGATACGATCCAAATGATTACATCGATGAAAATCAACAAGTTGAAGTCAAGAAAGAAAATTGCTTGGAAACACAAATTGATTTGGAAAAGAACCAAAAGATGATGGAGAATGACTATAAAGACGAAGTCATGCCAGTTCCTGTCGTTTCAAGATCAATCTACAATCCACTATTTGATTTAATTCAAAGAGGCGACAACGAGCAAATTTTAGAAACAGTCAGAAATGATGAAAGTTTGGTTTTGCAGCCGAAGGAAGAAGGAATCACTCCATTATATTTCGCGACTATGCAAGGAAAGTATTCTGTTGTTGAATTCTTGGCAAAACATGGCGCTGACATAAATTCTCCTGATAAAGATGGAAGAACAGCACTTCACATCGCAGCAATTTATGGTCAAAAGAGTTTGTATCATAAACTAATGTCGTTAGGAGGAAAACTTGATGTTAAAGACAAAAACGGACAGACACCAAATGAAATTTTCAAGAAAAGAAGAGAAGTTTTCGAAGAATTCATCGGAAGTTGTTATCACGGAATGACGTCGAAAGCTGAAGAGTGTCTCCACATTTATCCATCATTTATTAATGAAAAGGATAGAGCTGGAATGACAGGATTAATAAGGAGCCTCGAAAACAGCCATTTCGATACATTCCAAATGCTTCTTGAAAATGGTGCAGATGTTAATACAAAAATGAGTGATGGCAGAACAGTTTTGTTTTACGTAGTCGAAAACAACATGCTTGAATGGGTTGAATTGCTTCTTTCTAAAGGAGCTGACGCAACAGTCGTTAAGAAAGGAGGTGGCACTTTGCTCGGAGCAGCAATTAAAACTCAAAACACAAAAATCATCGAATTATTGATGAAAAGTGCCACACAAAAATCCGGTCAAGATCCGGAAGGAAATACGATTTTGCAAGCAGCAGCTAAGGTAGGAAACTATGATTTACTTAGTTTGTTAATAGACAGCGGCGCCGATATCCACGAAAGAGGTAGAGATGGCGATACAATTTTACTTACTATCGCGAGAAAAGCATTTCCGAATGCAAGGTTAGCTTTCAGAAAGGTAATGATTGCTGGAGCTGACATCAATGCTCGTGGCAATGATGGAAAGACAGCTTTACACCTTGCGGCTGCTAATGGAAATAAAGATTTCGTTCAAGCTTTGATCGCTGCTGATGCTCAGATTAATATCAGAGATAAGTCAAAGCAAACACCTCTGGTGTTACAACAGATACTGTTATTGCTGATATTTAAAGTCAAAAGGTGGAATTAAATAATTTGTATTAAATTATAAATATTGCTTTTATCTTTTATTTATTGATATATTTGTAAACATTTATGCAGAATAGCATCTAAAAACACATGAGTTATAATGACTTCCAATTTTTTTTCGACCGATAATCCTTGTATCGGATTTATCATATTTAATGCGTAACATGGATGCGATTTTCAGTTCCTAAGGCAATGAAGTCAATCATCATTATCAAAGTTGAAATAAAAGACAAATTCAAATCAAACAAAAGTTTAGGCTTGCGGAAATAGACCAATTACATAAAATTTAAATATACACTATTGTGTACATGCATATATTGTTAATATTTTATCGACTAGGTCGATTGGTTAAATTAAATTTGTTTCAAATGCATCTTCAGTTTTAGGAACATCGCCCATGTATTCTACCCGGTCTACTATAAATTTGTATAATAATAGCCGGTAGTCGAACAATTTAATTTTGAGATGATTTCCTGAGCCAAGTATATCTTCTCAAAATTAATAGTTGGATTCTCCTAAAATGAAAGAATATGGTATCAATTTCCTCGCTAAATTAATTTTCCTCTTCAATTTTTTCGATAGTTATTTTTTTCAAGTGATTGAAAAATTATTTCATCTTTAATACATTGTGAAAGTTTCTTTCCATTAATTTTCAAAAAAAGTTAACCGTAGTTCAAAGTTTTATCGGAGAAACAGAAAATCATGGTTATCAATAACTAACTAAAATTAAAATGTTTTTAGCCTGACTGACATTAGTATTTCACAATTTTGAGAAGATGTAAAATTTTTTTGAATAGGAATTTTTGTTGATTTTTTTGTGAGTGTTCTGTGAAAATTTCATGGTCTTCTGTCATCCAGCTTGAAAATACATAAATACCATAGTAAGCAGGTCGTAAATCAATTCATAATTTACATTCAAAAATCGCGAATTCAAAAAAATAGCATTGAAGTATCCTTAATTCAAAAGTTGCACTTTTGGTTCCTGAAAAATCCAAGTTCACAGATGATGCGTCGCTGCTGTTGCAAATGTGGTTGTTTATGTGTCAACGGACGCGAAGCTGATCCTGAGGAACTTCCAGAACAATTGAGAACAAAACGCGACGACAAACAAGACGCTTTTGTAATCAGATCTAATAGTATCGAAATCAAAGATGAGAATTGTCTCGAAGTAACACCAGAGACATCACAGAAAGTCACCATTGTATGCATGAAATGCGGACAATACATTACCCTTTTCGAGAAAATGGGATACGGTTTTGCAGTCTTGAACAGAAATCAATACAGACCATCTAGAAGGCAATCATATACCAACACAAACCAGGACTCAAAAATGATTTCAAATCCACTCATCCAAAAATATGTGAATTTTGATTCACAAAAAGATAATGATGATCCATTATTTTCTTATGATTCTTATGCTAGTGATACAGTTCTTTCAGAAGAAGATGATATAAACTTCATTGATGATGGAGATTTTGAGTACATGTTTTCGGGTACTACAGATCCTTTTGTTGGATCGTTTACTGACCGATTCATGGATTCTCCAGTTAAGGATTTATTACTCACACTTGTATAATTGATCTTATATGTTGTTATGTTCTCTTAAATTTCGATTTTATATTTCATATCTTTTGTTGAGTATTAATTGTATTAGGAAATGCTGATCGTTATTATTAACTATATATGCTTTGATTCAAATTGAAAACAAGCAAAATCTTCCAATTGAAATCATTAAAATTCAGCCAAAATGGTTAAAAATACATTCACAAATTCTGATATAGATATTATTGATCTAAATATTTGACACTTTTGAATGTTAGAATTTGAATTGGTGTTATCAAAATCAATTGTAATGTATTCAATTCATAAATATGAGTGATTGGAAAATTTAAGGATTTTTGTTTAATTTGTTATTTTGAGATAAATCTTTAAGAAGGAATTTTTTGATTGAATGAATTATTTTTATGGACCGAAGATTTCAAATTTTTATTTAATATTTAGCGATTTAACTTATAGTATATTAAGTCCATTAATTAATGAAATGAAATGTCAAAATGATCGTTATTAATTGATGTTTAAATATAGATGCTAGTGTGGCAAAAAGGCTACGAAACAAGCACGTTTGTAAATTATACAACTTCATAAAATAGTGAGAAAAGCTACATTCAAAATTATTCGTAAATTGTGATATTGAGTTGAATGATTTCCCTTGGAGAAATTTTAAATGTCCACATTTTCGGAACTTTTTAATATGTATAATGATATTAAAGTATATTCCGTCTATTTTCCATTATATTTATTAAGCAATATCTAATCAAAATTAACATCGAAAATTTCATTTCATACTTTATAATATTTGAGATATTAATATCCTATTAACAACTCATTTTTTATGATCATTCTCTAGTTTTCTCCCTAGGTTTTCTGAATTTTTTTAAAACAGCAAAAAATCATAACCTACTCTTCATTTAGTAGCACTTGGGTAATTCACAAAAAGTTAGATATTTTTACTAAGGTTTCGTTTTGCGAAAAAAACGTACAATACGCAAATTCGCTAAAAAAACATTTAGCTAGCAATTTCGACCTTTGACTCCACTCAAGACGTCACTTTTTTAATTTTGCGGTATCATATTTTTGAAAATCTTTATGAATATTATATAAAAAGTCTCTTTAATATCTATATTAAAAAAAAAAAAAAAAAAAAAAAAGGTAGTGGTGGCTTCCAGGCACTTCGTGCCTTCTAGCCCTGAGGATGATTGGTATAATGAAGTTTTTTTTCTTGGGTGTGTCCTTCCAGGCACTTCGTGCCTTCTAGCCCACATAAATGAAGTTTTTATTGGAGGTCTCCAGGAGCTTTTCACAAATTATATTGTTTTCATGTTTTGTCAAGACTTCATCGTAAATGTTTTGTCATGATTTCTTCGTAAATGTTTTGTCAAGACTTCTTCGTTAAAATCAGCAAAATAAGTTTTAGGGTAGAAGGTTAGATATAACCTCTTTTCTAACCTCTTTTTCTACTCCTGAATTTTCATGATTTCTTCGTCATAGGCACGGAGATAGGACGGTTATTTTACAAAAATGACAACACTTTGACCGAGTAGTTTTTTGTGCTGAACAAAAAGTGTCATATAAACATCTGTCAAAAACCGCTTTTTAACTTCACTTAAAATGCACCTAAGCTACGTAAGAATATACGTAAGAGGAAGAGAGCATTGAAACATCCAATAGTAAAACTAACACCACAACAACAGTTGCAACAACAAATTATGAATGACCCCACTAGTTTTGCAACAAATGTCAAGCAACCCTATGCTTTTAAACCGAGTTATTGGTGCACAAAGTGGAGGTTTAAGAGCGGCACTTTTAGCGATGGCAGGCTATGGTGGAGCTGCAGACGGAACAGCTTATAACCCTCAAAGTCAAATGAATTTGAGTTCACTCAAAATCAAATAACAGATGTCAAAAAGTCAAACATAGACATACAGAGACAAATAAGTGAAAACGAAAGAAACTAGAATATGACAGACACACAAAGAAACTCATGAGTTAAACGTAGAGAAAAAGAAGAAAGAGAAACAACTGAAAGAACTAAGTACAGAGGAATATGCGAAAAAAGTGTCAGAAAAAGCAGCAGAAGTAAAAAATGGAACAAGATGTCATAAATTTGAAAAACCATACTACTCAATATAAAGTACTGAAAGATGAGAGATAAAACAAAAAGCCATGAAGACATATATGGATAGCGATGAGTATAAAAAAGAAGTTGAAGCAAATGTAAAGGCAGAAAAACTTTTACAGTTGCAAAACCAAACGTACAGTATGAAAACTTAGCACAAAAAGTAAAAATAACGACGCCCATGCAAAAGGCAATGAAAAGCGCAGAATATATAAAAGCTAACAATGACTGGTTAGATGCCCAAGCCAACGCTAAAGCAGCCCAACTCATAGGGTCAATAAGGACAAAAATACAAGCGGATGAAGACAGTTCAAATGAAGCTTTAACGAATGCTGACTTTAAGAACGCCTTCGAAGCTCTTCATAGTAAGGTGAAACAAGTGAACGACTTCTCATCTGGAAAGAAACTGAAGTCTGAAGGTTTCGACAAAGAGTTAAAAGAAGTAGCACAAAATATGACGACAAATAACAGATGCAGCAACGAGACAGGCAAGTTCAAAGTGCCTATGACGCCGTTAGAGCAACTGTTGTGGAAAGTCAAGAAAAAGAGTTACAACAGACCAAAACAGACTAGTAAATGCTTTCTTAAGAACGAAAAGTCAGGTAGGACATTACGCTGCAGATGGAACATATGTGCCAGCTGGTGGAACTTATATACCAGCTGGTGGAACTTATATACTAGCTAGTGGAACTTATATACCACCAAACCCTCCAAGAGAAGCACCTGCACCAGGACTACCTAAAAATTTACATCGTCACATGGACATAGACACAGGCATGCACCAAAACCAACCAACAACCAACAGTTCAAACCCTGCACAACAACCACCTCCACAACCAGCACAACACCAACAGTTCAAAACCCTGCAACACAACCAACAGTTCAAAACCCTGCACAACAACCACCTCCACAACCAGAGCAAGGACATAAAAGAAGTAGAGAACAAGGAAACCAAAGAATTCTTAAAAATGCTTAAAGAAGACTATGGTTACCCAGATACTCTTGACTTGTGACAGATATAAAGAAGCTATTAGAAAGTTCAAGGAAGGAAATACTGACCCGAACCTATTTAGCTTTATGTTCAAGCACCAAAATGGGATATAATTTCAAACCTGGAAAATACAAGCTCGCTAAGGGATATGATTTAATAGCATATCATCCAAATGACATGGATGAATTTACTCCGAGATATTTGGTGGTCAGAGAATAAATGATAATTCAACTATCTTCATGAAACGCGTAAAAAATAGAGACCGGAACGAAAGAAGAAGGGTTATGAATGCGGATGGCTTAAATAGGGAACTTGTTAAAAACGGTCTCGGAATATATGAAATGCCAGCAGATGAGGTACAGAAACTCCACAGGAAGAAGTTCAGATACAACCAGACATGGAAGAAAATAGTTCAGCAACAACAGCTAGAAGAGCCTGAAGAAACGAACAAGTCCCTCCTTTGGAACTAACTTCACAGAACTAGATGAAGATTTGGAACAGCCGAAAAATCTTGACCCTCAACAAGTGTATGCGGAGAATATGGAATCTTTCCAAGAGTCTAAAAAAATTCGGCTGACATAGTAGAAGAATTGAAAAATAGTTTGCCGACATACAAAAGACTCCAACATCAGATGAAAATATCCAGCATAGAATGGAAGAACTGAAAAAAAATGTACACAAATACAACAACCCTTTTACTTACGAGCATTTTACGTTCAATCTTCGGATGAACTCGGTGAAAATAAAAGGTTAAATTTCAAGAAAACATATAGAAATGAAACATTTGTTTAAAGTTCATTCAGAACCTAACCAAGATGGAAACAAACCACTTTTGTTTCTGCAGACGATGGAACTACAATGAGATGGGTCATAAAGCTAATCCGGATAGGTGGTTCATAAACTTACAACCACAATCCAAGAAGTTGTAGACGCAATGGAAGTCAATGGTGAACGAGATATAGCTGGTATTTTAAGCGCGGCTTTAATGCCATTGAAAGATATGAAACATGCAGAATATTTGGACCAGTATGAAATGAACATGGCTGATGGAAATATAACACCTGACGTTCTAGAACATTTATCTCAAAGAACTACACAGAACCATAGAGATGGTATATTTGGTGAAGAGTTTAGAAAGAAAGTTAGGGAGAGAGAAGGAAGAGAACCTATTGTACATGACCTTGCAAACGAAAGTTTACAAAATGTCATAAAACACTTACTTTGCAGACGATGAATCGAGAAGGGATGAATATTTAAGAAAACTCAAATGGACAGTACCAAATGAAAGTTTAGTATTGAAAAAACATGTTCTCTTGACAATAATAAAACCATAACAGAAATAAACGACGCAAGACTGAAAGATTGGGTAAAAGCTTCCCATTCAAAAAGATATAGTTGGTAACATGGAAAGAAACCAGAATGGCTACAAAAACATATATTTGGAAACGAGCTTATTCCATATGGACAGGCACTGTTTGAAAGAGCTTGAACCGGAAACTCAGGACAGAGTCATGCAAACAATAAGCGACGACTCAAATACAAACTATGACAAACTCTTTCTAGGATATAGGTTACCTGAGATGGGCGACCCAGAGCCAAAAAGCAAAAAGGGCATGGAAAATTTGCAACATACTAGATGAACATGAGGCAAAGATGCAACAACTTGAAGCAGAGGGCAAGTTACCAAAAGCGACACCAAAGAAAGAGAGTAGAACAAAGTAAAGCTTGTACCACGTGGGTTCTATTATGATATATAAATCCAACTATTCTATATTTTTACCCATATGAAATGTACGCCGCTCAGAATATAACGCCAACAGTTTTGGATGCCATGAATGGAAATGTTTCCGAATGTATAACGAATGCGACAATGCCATTAGAAGGTCAGAAATAGTTCCTGGAACTTACG